AAAATCATTCTAGGTAAACTCTCATGCAGTGCCAGATATAATGGATATGGATGTATGAGAAAAGAAAAACCTTAAATTGTAAGATGTAGGGTTTAAACTACGGCTGTCAAAAAAAGAATTTCGAATATTCGTCGAATTTAAAATAAAAATCCACATTCGAATGCAAAAACGTTGCATTCGAATTTTAGGTGTGCGTTAAGGAGGCAGCCTCATCAGTGGCACATGAGATGCGATGACGATGTAAGTGTCGTTGCATTATAATGTATTTGTTATCCTGTCCAGTTGAAGCCACTAGATGCGGCGCTGCTGCATTGTTCATTAAAAATATTGCGGAAAAAGAGAACATCAATGCAGAGAAGATCTTGCTTACATCAAAACTGAAACCAAGCCATTCACACAGAACGCATATTTCGCGCATTTTCTAGAAGGACATCTATCACCATTGCACTCGCGTCTCGCACAAAAGAGCTGCATGTTTAGAAAGCCATGTAAGATTAATGCAAGTTTAACTTTGAAAAAAAAACATATATCGAGATTTTTTTTCCCCCATCCCACTGCAACTCATGTTTTTAAATGAAAAATGTACTCTGTGTGATTGGCTTTCGGTCCTTTGTATTAAACTATGATTACATACATGATGCTGTTTTGTTTATAGTTGTTTAAGCAACTTAATTAATTATAATGGGTTTATAAACATTATTTTAAACATTATGCACTTTTTTCACAGATAGTCATGTTATCTTATGCTTGGAATAAAGGTGCATTAGTAATATTTTGCTCGATGCGCCTTCTTGTGGCCTCAGGAGAGAAGCCAAAAGCTTTTCTTCAACCTAACTGAAATTATGCATTTTAAATTCTAATATAATTCGAATTTTGATCATATTTAAGTACAAAATTCGAATTTAGTTTTTCAGCCATTTTGACAGCCCTAGTTTAAACAGATAAAATGATTTTAGAAGTCTTGCATACAGCACCAGACGAAGTCTGTTGTTTCAAAGGAAGATCAAACTATCAAAACATTATAAATAAATAAAGAAAAATATAAGAAAGAAGAAAAAAAAAAAGAAACATGCATGGATACATTTGTTCACTAAAAGATCATCAAAATGCATATAGAGTATAGTGAATTTCCATTACATGCTAACTTTAATATAAAAGGTGGTAATATTTTGTACTCTGATTCTGACTATTTTAGCGCTGTCATGATTCCTCGATTAAATTTGAGTATTCGATTATTTAAAAAATCCTAGATTGCATTTTGCCCATGTCGGTTAACCGGCAAAATACAGGAAGTGGTGCATTCCACGGACGACAATCCATGAAAAGCATTATTAGACTGCTTTCTAAGGCCGCACGAAATATTAAAGGGGTCATATGATGTTGCTAAAAAGAACATTATTTTGTGTATTTGGTGTAATGAAATGTGTTTATGCGGTTTAAGGTTAAAAAAACACATTATTTTCCACATACTGTACATTATTGTTTCTCCTCTATGCCCCGCCTTTCTGAAACGCGTCGATTTTTACAAAGCTCATCGGTCTGAAA